TGGTGAGCCTGTTTTTTTTTTTCTTAAAAAATCTTTTCTCTAATCCTTTTTTTCTCTTTCCGCTTTGAAAATTAATTTGTTTTGCGTTTTTTCTCCTTCTTTTGTAATTTTTTTTGATATAATTATTATAGTTTTCTTTTTTTTAAATTTCTGTTTGATGATATTGTGAATGTAGTTCCGTAGGTAACTCTCTAATGTTTTTTTTTGAGTTTTCTTTAGGTATTTCTCTACATATTATTTATTAATATTAGGTACAAATTTACAACTACGCATGTATGTATGAATGTTGTATGTACAAGAATTTGTTTTTTTTTTAAATGCACACTATATGGATGTTTGTATTCATTTCCATACATATATACATATACATTTTTGCGAAATTGATTTATGGATGTGTGGTTTTTTTACTTTTTGCCATTTTCTTAAGTTTTATTGTATTTTGTCTTTGGCAACATTTCATAGATTCATACTATTATATAATTTACCTATAAATGTTTTTTTGTTCGTACATTTCAAGTAAACAAAAGTATAGGAAAATAGATTTTTTTAAAATTAAAACACAAAAAAAATTAAGAAATTCTTGTCTTCTCTGTTATTTGATTCCTCTTTTTCAAAATAAAAAAGAAACAACAGAAATTTATTATTATTATTCTTTTTTCTTTTTTCTCAAACAAAAAAATTTCTATCCAATTTATTTTCTTTTTTAAAAACAAAAAAACACACACTAATAAACTATGAATTTATATTTTATTTTTTTTATGCCTCCATTTGGTGTTTTATTTTACATGCTGCTTTTTCTACTTACTACCACCACCGCTACACAAATCTTTCGTTTTTAGAATTCTATAATTTTTCAGTAAAAAATTTTATTTTATATTATATGAACATATGTGTATACTCGTACATATGGAATATTATTTATTAAGCATGTGTTTAAAAATTTTGAAAAGCTAAAAACAAAAAAAATCTTTTATTGCAATTGCTATGATGTACACAATTTTTTATCCCCATTTTCTCTTTTCATTTTTATTAATTTTTATTTTTTTAAAAGATAGAATGAATTTTTCATTAATATATTTCTCTCTTTCTATTATATTATTGATTTTATTTCACAAAACGTTTTCGTTGCAATATTACATTTTATAATTTATAATTTTTGTTTCCAGTACACAAAATACACGTATTAATTTGCGAGTATATTTCAATGTGTGCATATTTTCACATGTATAGGTTATAAAAATTAGTATTCCTCTTCTGCCAAACAATTTATATAAAATGTACATATATTGAAAAGAATACACTATACTAACTGCTCCGGTTGCTCAACACACAAAATTAAAAGTCTCTTTAATTGAAATAGAACAAAATAATATTAATCTGTATAACACTTTATTTTTATACAGTTAGTTATACAAAAAAAGTGATATACAATGTATTATTTTTTATGTAGGAAAATGATAATGATTATTTTTTTTTTTTTTACTTTACCTTGTTTTTTTTATAGTTATTAAGATTGTTATATATGTAGTTAGTTTTTAAGATATATTTAGATTGTCTTATACATATATGTATGTACATATGTTTGTATTTATTATAAAAGTTTATTTTGTTTTTCTCTTCTCTATAGAATTTTATCTCTTGAACTTATAATTCTTAATTTCACAAACACAAGCATAAAATATTTCCATTTTTTTATCAAAACTTGTAAGTGTAATACACAAAAATCTGTTAATATATACATATGAACGTATGAAGTTATAGATATCTCTTATTTTAAAAACCAACAAAAATAAATTAAAACAAAGCAAATACTCACATTTTATTATTTTTTCTTTATAAATTCATCCAATATGTATACATATACAAACATATGTAAATATTATGTACTGCCATTAGCCTTTATATTTAAACTTTTATATTTTATATATTGTAAACAAAAGAATCAAAGGAAAATATGAATAATTTTTACACACATTTATGCTTATATGTAGTTATTTTAGTATGAATGTATGTATGGATGTACATATATTTTTATATACTTTTATCGTATTTTGGTTTGGGTAATTTTCTTTATGAATTTTTTACATTAGAATACAATGTTTTTTTTCTTATAATTGAATTATATTATAAATTATATTCGCCGCTAATTTTAACAACTGAAATTCGCGCAAATTAGAACAGATTTGTTCTTGCACTTTTGTTCTACATACATACATATGTGTATTTTTTGCAGAATTCAATTTAGATGCATACTATGTGCATACTTAGAAATAAATAATTTTTGGACACTACGTATAATGTTTTTTTTTTCACAAAATAGGTATTCAATGTTTTTTTTTAATAAATTATTTCAATACACTTTTTGTAATACAAAATTATATGGATTCCAAACAGAAACTGATTAACTATACATACATATATGTATGTATGTACATATAAAACACTTTAGTACTCACGCATATTTATACCTATGAATATACATATTCATGCATATACATACATACATATACGTATATATGAATTCCAAAGGTTGTCGCACTAAATAAAGTGTTTTTTTAGAACATTCAATTCAAAATGTTTTGATTTGAACTCTTTTTTTTGAATAGGTTCTTGGATTTTATTATTTTATTTGTTAAATATCACAATTTTACACAAGTTAGTTCTTGAAACTAATTGGATTTTTTTTTAATATTTTTTAAACAATAATTACAATTTTATAGTTCATGTACAATATACATGCATACATACTTTATGTATGTACATGCATAATAATTTTAGAAATGAAATTTTTTATATTATGATTATTTTGTATTTTCGTACTTTTTAGAGATAATTATACTTTTTCTTTCTCTTACGTTTTCTTTATTGTTATTTCCTTTTTTTTGTTGTTTTTAATTTTTTTTAAAATATATAAAAATTTTTTTTTGAGGGAAAAAATATCTCACAATCCACAAAATAGACGACAACGTCGACGTCTCAATTTCTTTACACATCAATTTTTATTAAATTCTCTTTTACTAATAATTTTTAGTAGACTTTCGATTTGATATTTTTGTAGTTAGTTGCTAGATATTCACATATACATACATACATACATATGTAATGCCGTCTGTAAAAATTTTTTCCTTTTTTTTTTAATTTCCCGAAAAAAATAAAACAAATCGAAAGGGAGAAAAAAATAAATTTACAAATTCGTACTGCACACACACAATAAACATAAAAAACAAAAATTAAATTACATTTTTGCATACCCAAATTTACAACTACAATCAAAGATTGTTTTATTTCATTTTTCTACCTTATGTATAATTTTTCTTTTTAATCAAATAGCTTTTGTGATTTTCGGAATGGTTTAGAGTTTTAGAGAACGTTTGTTTGGAATCCTATACATACATATGTATATGTATCTATGTATAGGCAAAAGATTATGGCTATTTCGTAAATAACATTATTACAAAAATGTTATTTTTGCTGTTGCTGTGCACACATGATTCTTATGGAATAGCTGCCATAAAATGATATAAAGTAAGATATAAAAAAGCGCCTCAAACAACCAAAATGAGAAAAAATATGAGAGATTGACATTTTGCTCAATAGAAAAACAAAATAATGAATTTGAGGGGAAATATTAAAACGTCATGACATGAATGTGCGTTTAATGATGCAAATGCTTTTGTATATTTTGTCAAACAACGAAGAACAATAATGCTGACTACAAATCAAGAGTGTTTTTCTATTAAACTAGTTTATCTCTTTTAATCAGGGTTGCCACTGTAAAAAAATAAACTTTGATAGAAAAAATAAAACAATTAAAAAAAAACTTTTTCTGAGAAGTTGAAAATACGAATTTATGAGTCACGGACACTTTCTTTACTTGAAAACTTATTAAAAATCTGTATGCATTATGTAGATACATATTAAATAAAATTATACAAGTTTCTGAAATGAAAGGACATATTTTATAGATGTATGCAAAATTAGTAAGTAAAGAAGTAAAGTTGACGTAAAATCTTATTTTTGGTTTATTATCAGACCAGAAAAAGGATATAATTATCTGAATAAGATAAGGTAAGGCATTAATTATGCGCTATAGGATGTAAGGTACACCAGATAGATAGATAGGTAGATCGCTATCTTCAAAACCTTTTTAAAATACCTGCTACCTCTAAAAAAAAGTAAAAAAAGTGTTACATTATGATAAACTGGAATCAAAGATGTTCTAAAATAAATATTAATAATTAGTTCACTCATATATTTGAAATTTTAGTTTCTTTAGCTCTTCCATTCATGAATTAATACATTTCCAACTCATACAAAAAGGGAAAATCAGATAATATTAATTTTTGTTTGTTTGTGTAATTAAATTATTTTATTGTTATTAAATATGAAATGTCCAATTATATTAATATTAATATGTACATACAATTATACAAAATTCTCCATCCAAAATACTGAAAAGTAAAATTTAAAAAGCTGAAAAGTAAAAAAATAAAATGTTTACATTTTTTTGTATGAAATTCTAAGTCGCTATAATAGTTTTTGATTAAAATTAAATGCCAAAATAACTCCGTAAGTAATAAATCCATCTATTGTACGTTAGGAATACTATTTCTTAAAGGAACGCAGATATTGCGTTAACAATAAGCTGGAATATCCGGAAATAGCTGGAATTGGAACAAAAATAGTGTAGCCACAGTTTATCGTAAATAACCGGTTTATATGATTTCTACCATATTTACTTAATATTCTTTTTAAATCAAAATTTCCATTTTTGTTTCGATTATCTTCAAATTTTATTTTCTCACAAAGATACCGTATAAAAAGGTTAATATATTATATTTAAGCAAATTCAAATTTATATATGTATGTGGTGCTATCTTTTGTTGATTATTTTTTTTTACGGTATTGTTTATTTAAAAACTGGTGTGTATAAATGAAAGCATAATGAAAAAAATTTGACAGTATTGACATATTTTTGGCATCATTTTTATCTGAACATTAAACAAACAACAAAATAAATTGAAAAAATATTTGTGTTTACAAATGTTGCAAATTTACTATTGAAAAATTTAATCAATTAAAATTAAATAAGAAAAATTAGAGGTAAGTTTGAATTTTTATTAGCTGTTAGACTTATATTTTTATGTTATGTTGAAAATTTTGTTTAAATAATCGTAAATTATTTTTTAAATTTATTTTTTTAACTTATAGATTTTCTTCTTTGTTTAAGAAAATAAAAAGATAAAATTCTTATTTTTATGAACCAAAGACCTATTTCAATCCCTTTGAAAATATAAAGACCTCAAGTGGTTTATTCGATTTATATTTGCAAAGCGAAATCCGGTGTCTCAGATTTTAACTACTAAATCAGGTATGTACATACATACATACATATGTATGTATATATGAATCCATTATCATAATATGCTATATTTTATTCTCTTTATTATTTTAGCACACATAAGTATATTATATTCCCTTGAACTCCGTAAGTCATATCTATGACTGTTGAATTTTTGGAAAATTTAATTGTGAATCTAACTTTAATTATCAAATTTTTAAGGAACAGATTTGTGAGCAGGTTTTATAGAAGTTAAAGTAAGTATTAATTTTTTTTATATGATTTATAATTTTCAAAGTTTATTTTCAATCTAAAATATTTCAAAAGAGTATAGAACACATCAGAAAAGTAAGGAGTACTTTAAGTTGCTTTATATCTTTATTAGCCATGAAAATAGTCGAGTGGTCAGAGTTATAACACATAATAATATGTTACCATAGATTTTGAGTAATTGTCGTTTACATATCGTAGAATCTATTTGAAATGGCCATCCTAATTTATTGTATCTGTTTGCTAACCAAAAGTTCATTAAAAACGGTTTTTTTTTCTCTTCAAAACATTAAATATTATTTTTAACCAGCATTTGCTAAAAAAAAATTTTACTAGTGCACTTGCACTTTATTTAATAAACGAAATTTTTACATAAACAAATTTCTCTTAAAAAGCTTGATCATATAAATTATCGTAAAAAATGTTTACTCTTATTGATATTTATAATTATTTATGTATGTTACATTATTATATTGTGTACATATTTATGTGTTATTGTGCTTATATAAAAGTGACATGATTTGTTTCTGATCATTTTTGAAATTGTAGATTGATGTAATTTTATTATTTTTACTTTCATACTAGAAACTAATACCGAACTTATGAGTATAAGCTTCTAAATACTCATAATTTTTACAGTTATATCTGATTCCTACATTTTCTAATCGCCTTTTTTAAGTTTATTTTGATTTCATCATTTAGTGAAAAAATGTTCGTTTTGTTCCTTTATAATATAGTCTTTTTAGAGCAAATTTAATATTTCGCTTTTGTAGTAGATTATTATATTAAACAATAAGGAATAACAGTGAAATTAACAATAAATTGTCTTATGCCTGCAATTAAATCACTTCATTAAGTTATATTCAAATTCAAATACCGATATATAAATAATTAATCATTGTTTAATGATATAAATTAATATAATTATCTAGCTCAATTGTTTTTAAATGTCCTTATTTTTTCCCCAGCTTTAAGATATTAAATTATTTTACACAAACGGGTTGAACTTGAATAGTAATTTTATTTCTTTTTACTTTTTGTCGAATTTTTGAATATATCATGCTATCATAACTCCAAATTTTAAAGGAAAACAATGTGTAGTTATAAACTAGTATAATACTGAAACTTTAAGCCCGTTTTTTTTTCAGCTATAAAATTACAAAAAGCTTTAATTATTTACATACGTTATATAATAAAACATGTTTCGAAAAGTTTTTTTTAATTTAATTTGCATGTTCATAACTTAGTTACGTTTCTGTTTTCTTTAATATTTTTACAATAATAATAATTGATATGATGTTCTGGAAATAAAATTAAAAAAAAAAATAACTATAATTTATAAAATATTGACGTGAGATTTTTTTTAATTACTTGTTTTTTTTTTTCTTATTCATCATAATTATATCTTTATTTTGTTACCTTTTTTATATATGTAAAACGTGCATTTTGTACATATTTGTTTAAAATAATTATTAAGAGTCATTGTTTGTGATACGAGCTCATAATAAAATAATGTGTATGTATATAAATTTAAGGTAATTTAATAACACTTGCAGTCACGTGCACTACTTTCCAGATTTGCGAATCTAACGAGACTATGTATTCTCATGAAAAATTAAAACGTCTGTAAACTGGTATAAGAGATTTTGTGTCTCTTACTTCAAAATTTCTGGTTTTCGCAACTGATTTTTTTAATATTTTTTAAACTATAATATTCTGATTTTTTTTTTATGATTCCAATAATTCTAAATTCTGTTATAAAAATTCGCAAATAATAAGTTGTATTTTGTTCACAACAAAATAAAATGTTTATTAGAGTAAAAATATTTGGTTGAGCTTTGTTATATTAAAATAATTATATTGTGTTATGTTGAGAATTTTAAACTTAATTTAATTCTTTTAACATTCTTATACTTTATAGATGAAATCTTAGTTTTGATTGAACTTATATTTCCAGTTAGATAATTTTTTCTGCATTATTTTTTGCCAATCTTTTTAGATAACTTTAAGGTTAGTCATTTTAGTTAAAGCATTCAGATTTTGATAATTTTTTTTAACTTCAAGCAAAGCTATGATAGCGAAATTAAGAATTCTATTAACTTGTACATAGAGTTAACTTTTGATTTAATATAACTTGAAATTTAATCAAACTTCGATTTCTATTACATATTTCATATATGTACCTTCGAGTTCGACTTAATAGAATTATGTAAGTGGAAGTTATAAAAAACAGCATTTTTTTAAACATGATATTAATAATTGCAGTTTAGTATATTACATATTGTTAAATGTACGCACGAGTTTAGCTGAAATTGTTTTGAAATGTCTAGACCTTGGTTAGTTTGTCACTCATGCTCTTTTGTTTTCTTATTTTTAAATATGATGGGGTCTATTTTTCTTTTTTCCTTTATTTTTTTGTTTCATTGCTAGTCTTTATTTTTTTTGAAAAAAAAAAATTTAAATTTGTTATAAAAGTTTTTAAAATATTTAAAATATTTATGTTGTATTAAATATTTGAAATTCATGTCATTTACTCCCAACCACTATTAGACTAGAGTATAATATTTAAACTTGATTGGAATATATTATCCACATATTATTTAAGTTGATTAAAAACTAGGATTACAAATAAAAATAATTTTGTTTATCCCTGATTACTCTATTCATTTAAATCACAAAATAAACTTATTTGCAAAAAAGGCTGCTTTATTGGTTGATTAGTTTAATTCAACAAAGTAAACTGTAAGATCTTCAAAGAGAACCAAGTTAATATTGATGCACAATTCGGCAATAGTATCCAATAAATTGAACTGCATGTTTTTATTCGACGCTTTTGTATTTTGGTAAGTAAACAAACAAAATTAAGGCACAAGGTAGTTGCAAAAGTTTTGTTCAACTTTTTGTATATTTTCAAAAAAACTCTTACTTATACATTTCTAAGTATGTTGAGGTTATTGGAAAGATTATGTTACCCTAAAAAACACGTTTCAAAGAGTGAAATAAAGTATGAATTTTTTAGCTAAAATAAAGCAGCAACTTTGCAGTGTTATAAAATAAAATGAAAAATAGAGGCAAGTTGTGTTGCAGTAAAATGATTCAATAATAATTAATAAAAAGAGCTTCTAAGAGAATATTGTTACCATTTGTAATAACTATAGTACAATTAGGATTTTATTAATTGCCATATCAGTTGAATTTATAAATACGAATTACACATTTATACTTTTAATTTATTTATTCCTTATGTAAAAATAACAAAGAAATAAGTGAGAGACGAGTTCCAAATTTAATTCTTCTTTATGATGAGATTAAAGAAATAACTGAAACATTTTCAAAAGCCAATACATACGAACATTTTTAGCTTCTTATGAGATGCTTGTTTATGAAATCGAAAAACCAAATAAGAAGATTGCGCGAATTCCTGGCTTCTATACTTTTACATTTCATATTTTTCAGCTGTAACCTACGTACTTTAGACTTTTGCTATTATCTACTTAAACTATACCTTAACTAGGCAAAAAATAAATTATAATGGATACGTTGCCGGATCTGTAAATGTTTTAAATAATTTATTTAAAGTAAACCGTATTTTGCAATAAAATAAAGATTCCTACAAAATATAAAATAAAACGTGAAAAAATTAAGTTGACCGTGTCAACTCTGTGATACCCTTACGAATTTGTTATCCCATGTGCGAATAAATATGCCATAGCTGACCATGGGGCTGACTATGACTTTAAGTAGCCTAATTACCATATTAATATATGCAAAATTTCAGTACTGTATTTTCAATATTTTCTTAGATATGGCCAAACTACTATTGAAGTTGTGTGGCAGCTACCAGAAAGAGCCAAGCAATTTCAGTGAATTTTGTCATACACATTAGCCCTACCGCAAATTCTTTAACGTCAAAATTTTGTTTTCAGTCTGCAAACTGTCTGACGTATAAAACTTTTACGGACAGAAATGTAGTAAACTTTTTACCCGTAATTGACTTTGAATTTTGATCATCCGTAAACGTCAAAACAAAAAAAAAAATTTTTTTAGATTTAAAACAATTTTATACTTACATATTAAAAATTAACAAAACAAATATTTTTTATATTATTTTTGAAGTAATGATAGTCACTCAATACATCAAATTTATTTACTGAATTACTACGTCAGACTGTCTGCATGTAAAAAAAAAATCTACAATTTTGACGCTTAATTGACTTTTTTTAGACCTTTAAGAATTTAAGCTTTGACTGAAAGTAAAAACGCAGTAGAGTATTCGTAAACTCAGACAACTCAGATTTTGTAAAATTTGACGTTTAAGAATTTACCAAATGATAGTCACTCAATACATCAAATTTATTTACTGAATTACTGCGTCAGACTGTCTGCATGTAAAAAAAAAAATCTACAATTTTGACGCTTAATTGACTTTTTTTTAGACGTTTAAGAATTTAAGCTTTGACTGAAAGTAAAAACGCAGCAGAGTATTCGTAAACTCAGACAACTCAGATTTTATAAAATTTGACGTTTAAGAATTTGCCACTACTAATATATTCGCTTATGTGAAATTTCAAATAACATCCGCTATTATAGTTTCTAAGATAAAGTCAAATCATTTTTGAAGTTGTATGGGAGCTATTAGAAAGAGCCAAGCAATTTCAACAACTCTCATCAAGTACATTGGCCCTACTAATATATTTATGTGAAATTAAATATCAAAGCTCTAATAGTTTCTAAGTAAATTTTTAAGTTGTATGGCAGCTATTCGATCATATCCAATTTAAATAGGGTTCTGGTATTTGCTATAATGAACCATTTGTGAAAAATCATTGGTGAAATTATCTCCATTAGTTTTGACATTATCGTTGGGACGGACGGATGGGCGGACATTTTGGACCCTTCGAGCATACATTCATACGGGTATAAAAATGTTACAATAGTGGAATTACAAAATTCAAGGTATATTATTGTAAAAAGAAAAAAATGAGTT